CACACATGTATTCAGTTTATTATAAATCTACAGTAGTTCTATTTTGTTAATACTTTAAAATAAAGAAATTTAAACTACAACTTTTATAGTCAAACATACATTAGAATAAGTCTCTTGAAATATTACAGAGTACTTGCAGTCAGCACTTTGAAAGTACAGAAAAAACACAGTATCTTCAACATGGAGAATGATTTTGTTACCCACATAAATATTCCTTATTCTCATAAGAAGTCCCATTTGGGGTCATGAACTCACTCGCACTAAAGACTGGCTGTTTTGCATTGATTTCATTGGGAGTTGGATAATCAAGTCAATGGGCCTACTCACATGAGAGAGAGTTACAGAATCAGACACACAGTTGATACATGGAGTCCGTTAAGATGTAATCACTGAATTCTAAAGGAGTAGAACTAGGCCCTAAATGCCTTTAGACTTTTAACAAGGATTCCACTGAAAATGACAATCTCTTATTTTTAACTTTCATTTCTGAACAGCATTCTTGGGATATTCTAGATAAGTGTCTGAGGTTTTCCTTTGCCACAGAACACTTATTTTTCACGTGTTGACTCACATGGTGCTTTTGTAGTAAGGAAGGATCATTTTGTAAGAGAAAACCTTCTGAGCCAAACTTCTGGTTGTGGTCGTATTCAAAATATTCTTTAACTTTTTCAAAACTTGCTTGTGTTTTTGTTGCCTTTGATCTCAAATCTCTCTGAAAGGAGCCAAGTTCTTTGGCTAAAATATTGGCCTGAGCCAGCTCCTTACACACTTGAACATATTTCTCTGCATCCTTAGTAAAGGTATATTTATATTTCTGTAAAAGGCTGCTTTTGATTTCACCTGATGTAAAAGTTACATTTGGTAGGAAAAAATCTCTAGTCTGATAAAGCATAGTGCTTGCATGTATCAAAGGAAACCAAAGATTTATCAAATTGTGATTAAAATATGTTGAGTCACAAAGCTGGCTGTGTCCAGTGCTAAATGGATTTGTTTCTGTGCCTGGTAAACAATCTTCATTTGATCTTTGTAAGCTTTGAGCTACAGCTAATTCCTTTAGTTCTCTCTGTCTAAGTTCCCTTTCCAGCATTATGCATTCCAGCTCTTTATCTGCAAATGTTCTTCGTTTCCTCATTCGCTCACTCAAGTTAGAAAAGTGGAGTTGGCTTTCCTGTGGAGGCTTATAACCTAGGAAAACAAATGAAAGGCTTCATTTAGTATTTTTATCATTATCATTGATTATTTGTATTTTCCTGTAGTGACTAGAGGTCCTAACTAAGATCAAGGTCCCTTTGTGCTGGATGCTGTGCAAACACGTAGTAGCAGACATCTCTGCCTTGAGGAGTTTACAGTGAACTAGACAAGTCAGACAAAGGATGAGAGGGAAAATGCAGAGAAGGAAAGTAGCTTGCCCAGGCACCTAACTTCAAGTCCAGAGGTTTGTCTGCTATACCATGCTGCCCATAGACTGATAACTTACCTTATTGGTATTATATTATTTCAGTGCCTCCTAGAAATATTTGTTGATAGGTTTTATTTTAAGAAATGTCATTTTATAATTTGACATCATTCTTATGTGGATCATGTAAGGGATAACCTGTCTAACCCTCTGAATAGCCTGGACTATCTAACAAAGATCAAAATTGGAAAGTAGAAGGCCATATTTTTGATCATTAGCAGTCATGATCCTTGTGCTATATATGCAAACAGGATACTATGAAGTCTAGAATTATGTTTAAGTGGAATTACACCTTTGCATTATTAAAATTTAAATAACTACTCAGAGCTATAAAATGTACAAAACGCTTTACAAACATATGGCCTGAGCATTCTCACTCAAGCCAACGCAGGTAACATAGCTTCTTTGCCTGTGGCCCTACTACATCTATCATTGATGATACCTTAGGAACATAGGAACTGTGATAAAGGATCAGATCAGTGCTATGTATAATATGGTATCCTGTCTAGTACAATGCTCAGGCCAGCTGCTTCAGAAGACAGTTAAAGAATAATATGCCTAAAAAAGAAAATTTCTTCCCAAGTAAAAGATAAAATAATGGATCTTACAATTTAGAAATAAATCTCACAAAAATCCATTTCCATTCAAATCAAAATTATTTACTTTTTATTAAATCAAAACCTCATTGTTTTGAGCTGACAAACTCCATTCCCCCCCAAGTTTTGTCATTTCAATTCAAATATTTCAGGTGTCTTCCCTTTTTTGATTTAATTTGGTGAAATTTGAATGGACACGCTATTACAAATCAGAGTTTAAATAAAGCATTTCTATTTTTCAAAGTAAAACGTCTAGATGAAACATTGGTTAAAAAAAAAAAGTCTCAATTTGATAGTTTTAGGTCCTGAACTTCCCCCCTTTCCCTTCCCTCATTTCTGTGGGGAAAAAAAATTGATTTTCACCTAGCTGTATTCCTAATCCTCATTCAATTTACATACTGTAAAACCAGAAGGGGTCATTATGATATTCTAATCTGATTTGCATAACAGAGGCCATAGAATTTCACCTAATAATAGTTCCTTCATCCAGCTCAAGTACAATGTGATTGAACTAGGGCATTTCTTTTTAGAGAAACATTCAGTCTTGTTTTAAACATTTCAAATGACTGGGATTCCATGACCAGCAGCGGATTTAGGGCAGGGCAAGCGGGGCGACTGCCCCGGGCCCCGCGCTTCCCGAGGCTCCGCGCATGCGCCGTGTCAAAGGAGGGGCCCCGCAAAATTTCGCTGCCCGGGGCCCCGCGGTGCTGCCCTGGGCCCCCCGGCACTCTCATCCACCCCTGTCCATGACACCCCCTAGTACAGGTAGAACCTCTGTGGTCCAGCACCCTTGGGACCTGCCTGGTAACAAACCACACTCCGGCTGCTAGCCCCGGGGCACTGACCCCTTCCCTCCCCAGAAGTGCTGGGGCTCTGCTGCCAGGCCCCGGGGCTCTGGGGTTCCATTCCCCAAGGATGCTCAGGCTCTCTTCTGCCCCATCATGGCTCTGCTCCTAGCCATTGACCCTCCCACTACTGGCCCCCAGTGCACAGAGGCTCCACTTTTGGCCCTGGGGCACAGAGCCTCTGCTACGCATCCCACCAGGCTCCGCTGTTCCCTTGTCCCACAACACTCCTGACTCCAGCCTGCTGGTTGTTGCCAAACTATGGAAGCCTTGATTAGGGAGCTTCAACCTGTAGTTCTAACGGTTAATCACCCATGCTGTCAAAAACTTGCATTTTTGTCTTCCTCTACACACACATGCACCAATTTGAACTGCAGATATTGGAAGGATTGTGCTGATGTGTATATGTTTAAAAAAATCCCAAATCAGCAACATGTTTAATTACATGTCTAACTTTAAACACAAGACTAGTCCTGTGGAATTCGATAGGACTACTCAGATGCTCCATATGAGGCATGAGTATCTTGTCAAATTGAGGCCACGTCTCCTTACCTGCCAGTATGCTTTTGGTCAAGATGCTAGTATTCTTGGGGTAGTGTTGATAGTTTAATCTGCAACTGACTGATAGAAGAGAATGTTCAGCTTCATCTTTCTTAACCTGTGCAGAGTCATGGAAAGAAGAAAATAAATATTTCCCCCCCCCCCCCAGCCGTGGCCCCGCAGTCCTGCCTGCCTCTCACCCCCCAACCCGCACTGCTGCCTCTATCAGAGCATCCCACAGAGCAGCCTCTGTCTGCGGCGAGCCTGTCCCCCACCCCAGACTGGCTGGCCCTGCCACTCTGCGCTGCAGCTTCTGATTCAGAGGCAGCAGCACGGGATGGCAAGGGGCTCCCAGGGAGTGGGGCCGAAGCACACTGGCTGCCAGTCCCTAGGGGCGGGGACTCTCGAATAGCTGTGTAACCACAAAGATTTCATGCAGTTACATGACTACTCAATTACACTGCTCCCCCTCCTCCTGTCCTTTGGGCTTGCTTAGTAGAGTGAAGAGCAGATAGACTCCATTTTCTCTTTGTGGGTTAGGGAGAGGATTCCTTGGTGTCCAGACAAGCTTCACACAGACACAGGGCAAGGAGAGCAGAGAAGAGGGGGAAATTCAGCCCTAAAGTTCTCATCAACACTAATACAATTTATTTTTATAGTTTAATTTAAAATTCATGTAAAACCTCACAGTCCTCGTGGCCCTTGTCTTTACTAGGAACGACATGTCTGATTTATCACCAGCAGTGCAGCTCCCATGATTGGGGAGCAGGGGAACAATCAATTGTTATAGCATAGATGCACCTGACTGCATAGAACACAAAAGTCAATACGAGGGCAAGCTTCCCCCTCAAACTACCCTGTAAAGCCTCAAGTTTTCTTGTGTGATATACTGTAATCTCATTCCATGAACATGGAATGCTTGGATTCCCTACCCTGAAACTCCCTTTGGATACCAGTTTATATCATGCATTTTGTAAAGGAGAGCTCTTTATTACCTGCTAGCGAAAAGATCGAAATGATCAATGGAATTGTAGGATCCTATGTGAGGTTTGAGTAGGAATCTTTGAAGTGACTGGCAATTCTTTTTCTCCCCCCAAGGGCACATCAGCATACTCCCTCCAATTCTGGATCATATTCTGCCTATGAATATCTACTAGGCTGCTAATTAGGATTTTAGGGGTTTCCTCTGTATGCATACCAGGGTGTGAACCAGAGTCTGTCTTCTACAGTCTGATTTGACTGTACATATTAAATATCTGTATTACATTATTTTGTTTGCTTGACTATTCTATTAAATATACTGAAAAGAGAGCTAGTGCTGAGCTATTTTTGTAGGCATTTCAGGACTTTATTCAGTGGTCATTTAAGCTCACTAAAGGCAATGGGAGCCTTTTCAAGGCTTCAAGGGACTTTGGACCAGGCTTCATTGAAATTAGTCCTGGCTTATACTAATATGACAACTGAGGCCCTAATACATTGAACATTGGTGTAAAAATGTGCCCTGGTATATTGCATCAACAAACTAAGCCTTCATATCTGCTAAGCCCATTTTATTCAAACTGGTTTTCCATTTCCATAGAGTGACCCTCTTATCACTTTATTTAGTATGCAAACACATCCATTTATACATTGTCTTGCAAATTAATACATGCATTAAGTAATTAAAAAAAGTCAAAAATCACCTACTACCCACACATGTATTCAGTTTATTATAAATCTACAGTAGTTCTATTTTGTTAATACTTTAAAATAAAGAAATTTAAACTACAACTTTTATAGTCAAACATACATTAGAATAAGTCTCTTGAAATATTACAGAGTACTTGCAGTCAGCACTTTGAAAGTACAGAAAAAACACAGTATCTTCAACATGGAGAATGATTTTGTTACCCACATAAATATTCCTTATTCTCATAAGAAGTCCCATTTGGGGTCATGAACTCACTCGCACTAAAGACTGGCTGTTTTGCATTGATTTCATTGGGAGTTGGATAATCAAGTCAATGGGCCTACTCACATGAGAGAGAGTTACAGAATCAGACACACAGTTGATACATGGAGTCCGTTAAGATGTAATCACTGAATTCTAAAGGAGTAGAACTAGGCCCTAAATGCCTTTAGACTTTTAACAAGGATTCCACTGAAAATGACAATCTCTTATTTTTAACTTTCATTTCTGAACAGCATTCTTGGGATATTCTAGATAAGTGTCTGAGGTTTTCCTTTGCCACAGAACACTTATTTTTCACGTGTTGACTCACATGGTGCTTTTGTAGTAAGGAAGGATCATTTTGTAAGAGAAAACCTTCTGAGCCAAACTTCTGGTTGTGGTCGTATTCAAAATATTCTTTAACTTTTTCAAAACTTGCTTGTGTTTTTGTTGCCTTTGATCTCAAATCTCTCTGAAAGGAGCCAAGTTCTTTGGCTAAAATATTGGCCTGAGCCAGCTCCTTACACACTTGAACATATTTCTCTGCATCCTTAGTAAAGGTATATTTATATTTCTGTAAAAGGCTGCTTTTGATTTCACCTGATGTAAAAGTTACATTTGGTAGGAAAAAATCTCTAGTCTGATAAAGCATAGTGCTTGCATGTATCAAAGGAAACCAAAGATTTATCAAATTGTGATTAAAATATGTTGAGTCACAAAGCTGGCTGTGTCCAGTGCTAAATGGATTTGTTTCTGTGCCTGGTAAACAATCTTCATTTGATCTTTGTAAGCTTTGAGCTACAGCTAATTCCTTTAGTTCTCTCTGTCTAAGTTCCCTTTCCAGCATTATGCATTCCAGCTCTTTATCTGCAAATGTTCTTCGTTTCCTCATTCGCTCACTCAAGTTAGAAAAGTGGAGTTGGCTTTCCTGTGGAGGCTTATAACCTAGGAAAACAAATGAAAGGCTTCATTTAGTATTTTTATCATTATCATTGATTATTTGTATTTTCCTGTAGTGACTAGAGGTCCTAACTAAGATCAAGGTCCCTTTGTGCTGGATGCTGTGCAAACACGTAGTAGCAGACATCTCTGCCTTGAGGAGTTTACAGTGAACTAGACAAGTCAGACAAAGGATGAGAGGGAAAATGCAGAGAAGGAAAGTAGCTTGCCCAGGCACCTAACTTCAAGTCCAGAGGTTTGTCTGCTATACCATGCTGCCCATAGACTGATAACTTACCTTATTGGTATTATATTATTTCAGTGCCTCCTAGAAATATTTGTTGATAGGTTTTATTTTAAGAAATGTCATTTTATAATTTGACATCATTCTTATGTGGATCATGTAAGGGATAACCTGTCTAACCCTCTGAATAGCCTGGACTATCTAACAAAGATCAAAATTGGAAAGTAGAAGGCCATATTTTTGATCATTAGCAGTCATGATCCTTGTGCTATATATGCAAACAGGATACTATGAAGTCTAGAATTATGTTTAAGTGGAATTACACCTTTGCATTATTAAAATTTAAATAACTACTCAGAGCTATAAAATGTACAAAACGCTTTACAAACATATGGCCTGAGCATTCTCACTCAAGCCAACGCAGGTAACATAGCTTCTTTGCCTGTGGCCCTACTACATCTATCATTGATGATACCTTAGGAACATAGGAACTGTGATAAAGGATCAGATCAGTGCTATGTATAATATGGTATCCTGTCTAGTACAATGCTCAGGCCAGCTGCTTCAGAAGACAGTTAAAGAATAATATGCCTAAAAAAGAAAATTTCTTCCCAAGTAAAAGATAAAATAATGGATCTTACAATTTAGAAATAAATCTCACAAAAATCCATTTCCATTCAAATCAAAATTATTTACTTTTTATTAAATCAAAACCTCATTGTTTTGAGCTGACAAACTCCATTCCCCCCCAAGTTTTGTCATTTCAATTCAAATATTTCAGGTGTCTTCCCTTTTTTGTTTTAATTTGGTGAAATTTGAATGGACACGCTATTACAAATCAGAGTTTAAATAAAGCATTTCTATTTTTCAAAGTAAAACGTCTAGATGAAACATTGGTTAAAAAAAAAAAGTCTCAATTTGATAGTTTTAGGTCCTGAACTTCCCCCCTTTCCCTTCCCTCATTTCTGTGGGGAAAAAAAATTGATTTTCACCTAGCTGTATTCCTAATCCTCATTCAATTTACATACTGTAAAACCAGAAGGGGTCATTATGATATTCTAATCTGATTTGCATAACAGAGGCCATAGAATTTCACCTAATAATAGTTCCTTCATCCAGCTCAAGTACAATGTGATTGAACTAGGGCATTTCTTTTTAGAGAAACATTCAGTCTTGTTTTAAACATTTCAAATGACTGGGATTCCATGACCAGCAGCGGATTTAGGGCAGGGCAAGCGGGGCGACTGCCCCGGGCCCCGCGCTTCCCGAGGCTCCGCGCATGCGCCGTGTCAAAGGAGGGGCCCCGCAAAATTTCGCTGCCCGGGGCCCCGCGGTGCTGCCCTGGGCCCCCCGGCACTCTCATCCACCCCTGTCCATGACACCCCCTAGTACAGGTAGAACCTCTGTGGTCCAGCACCCTTGGGACCTGCCTGGTAACAAACCACACTCAGGCTGCTAGCCCCGGGGCACTGACCCCTTCCCTCCCCAGAAGTGCTGGGGCTCTGCTGCCAGGCCCCGGGGCTCTGGGGTTCCATTCCCCAAGGATGCTCAGGCTCTCTTCTGCCCCATCATGGCTCTGCTCCTAGCCATTGACCCTCCCACTACTGGCCCCCAGTGCACAGAGGCTCCACTTTTGGCCCTGGGGCACAGAGCCTCTGCTACGCATCCCACCAGGCTCCGCTGTTCCCTTGTCCCACAACACTCCTGACTCCAGCCTGCTGGTTGTTGCCAAACTATGGAAGCCTTGATTAGGGAGCTTCAACCTGTAGTTCTAACGGTTAATCACCCATGCTGTCAAAAACTTGCATTTTTGTCTTCCTCTACACACACATGCACCAATTTGAACTGCAGATATTGGAAGGATTGTGCTGATGTGTATATGTTTAAAAAAATCCCAAATCAGCAACATGTTTAATTACATGTCTAACTTTAAACACAAGACTAGTCCTGTGGAATTCGATAGGACTACTCAGATGCTCCATATGAGGCATGAGTATCTTGTCAAATTGAGGCCACGTCTCCTTACCTGCCAGTATGCTTTTGGCCAAGATGCTAGTATTCTTGGGGTAGTGTTGATAGTTTAATCTGCAACTGACTGATAGAAGAGAATGTTCAGCTTCATCTTTCTTAACCTGTGCAGAGTCATGGAAAGAAGAAAATAAGATAAACCATGCATCCATTTTAGGCCATGTCTATATTATGGGCACCACAGGGACACCATTAAAGTTATACTGCACCTCCTAGTGCAGACACAGGCTACAGCAATGGAAGGGTTTTTTCCCCCATGGCTGTAGGAACTTCACAATCACTAGTGATTGTAGATAGGCTGCGGGAAACATTTTTCCATCAGCCTCACTGCATCTATACACAGGTTTGGTTGGGATAGTTAATTCAGTCAGCAGTGTGGATTTTTCACACAGCCAGGTTGAACTAAGGATTCTGCCAATAAAAAGCAAACTTGTTACTGCACCATGATTTCATCCAACAGGTTATTGTGATATTCGGAATAAACTACCTTTCCTTTTCACATAGAATAGCAGGTTTTTTAGGAAAACCCTTGTCAGGCTGACCTATTGGAACTTCCCTCAGTCATTTTAATACTAGGACAATTAAGAGGAACTGAGACTTCAAGCCTCAAGTGTTGGGGCTGCAGTCTAATTCTACAGAAATAATGCACTAACAGTAGTAGTATTTGTGTATACACATAGCGGCATTAAAGATCTTGATCCTACAGGTTATACTGAATGCTGAGATAAGGTGGGTGTTATCTTTTATTGGACCAGCTTCTGGTGGTAAGAGAGCCAAGCTCTCAAGTTTTACCAAGAGTTCCACTTTCTTGCAACCTAACGTAAAGCAATTACATTATCAGAAGTAAATAAGATGTTTAAGAACAAAAGCCTAAGGGACTGATAATTATACTTACGTCCTCTGTAAAGCTCTTTGTGATCTACAGATGAGAAGTGCTTGAACAGCAAAATATTTTATAAGAAAGTAAGGTTCTGACAACCATCTTTGGGTACCAAAGCATGGGGCTATATTAACTGTGCTGTGCAACCAGTGAAGTTGGGGAATGTTTAGCACTTGAAAACCTGGCTACTTATTTAAGTAACTAAATATGGCTTTATGGTCAGAGCCTTAGTCCTGATTTAGATGCTGAGCATTTATTGGGTTTTAAAATTTACATGAATATTTTTAACAAATATGATCAATGTGAATAACCTCTCCCATCATTCTAGCATGCCCTAAAACAAGGAGGGAACAGAGACAGCAGCGCCACTAATTATACACTGCTAGCTCTTGTCTAGTGCAGTAGTTCCCAACCTTTTGAATCATATGGACCCCTTTTCAATCTATTAAAATTTCATGGACCCCCCCAAATTATCCATTTTTGCTAGCCCAACTAAACCCTTCCCACCACTCTAATAACTTTTGAACTGTTAGAGCAGGGTGACATTCAAAATAAGAGGGGGGGGAGATAAAGAGCGACTGACACATTTATAAGCTGACTATAGTACAGCCACAGCTTGTCAGCTTCAGCATGGGCTGAGGGACAGGCAGACTGCAGAGCACAGAGCTTCTCAGGTCCTATTGGCTGCTACTTGCCTACTCTGCTTCCTCTGCTCCTGTCCCATCTGTCCCCTGCCAATTCACAGAGTGAAGGGGCTCTTGTGGTCAAACGGAGCTCTGGAGCAAACATCTCAAGGGTGGAATTTTGAGAGGGTAGGGAACAAAAGGGAAATTTTGGGAGCATGGGGGGACAGCAGCCATGCTGCTAGGATGCAGCTCGCTTTTGATCCTGTTCCCCAATGCTAAGGGAGAGAGGGGAAAGTGCTTGCATCCCATGCATGCCTCTCACACACCAGACAAGTGTGAGAAGCATGCACGGGATGCAAGCACTTTCCCCATGCTCCCTTAGGTTCCAGAAAACAGGATCAAATGCAAGCCACATCCTGGTGCACAGGGCTGTTGCCCCCCTGCCTTGTGCTTGGGGGGCAGGAGAGGGTGCAGGAGAAGAAAAGAAAAGTAAGGGTCAGGCTCACCATGGTGTTCCTGATCCTTACTTTTAAAAACTTTTTGTAGACCCCCTTGCAGTGCCCAGGGGGTCTGCGGACCGCAGGTTGGTAAACACTGCTCTAGGGCTCTTCATCCACAGAAGCAATTTACAAGGGGGTGGAGGCACAACTGTTACCCCCGTTTTACAGCTGGGGAAACTGAGGCACGCCCAAGAGAAGGGGCCAAAGCCAGGAAGAGAATCCAGCTTCCCCGAGTCTCTTAATGGAGCCGCTCCTGTAAGATTTATTCTCACCAGACAGCAGGAGATGCTCCCTCCACCGCTCTCGGGCTCTGCCCCGCAAGCAATTTACAAGGGGGTGGAGGCACAACTGTTACCCCCGTTTTACAGCTGGGGAAACTGAGGCACGCCCAAGAGAAGGGGCCAAAGCCAGGAAGAGAATCCAGCTTCCCCGAGTCTCTTAATGGAGCCGCTCCTGTAAGATTTATTCTCACCAGACAGCAGGAGATGCTCCCTCCACCGCTCTCGGGCTCTGCCCCGCCCTTTGCAG